GGATCGAACCCTGGTCCCTGCACTTGCCAAGGAAGGTGCTTAGTCCGCTGAGCTATCTCACCAGGCCTCTGCTCCAACCTATCTGAAGTTGGTAAGTATTTGGGGTCTGTATTTTGAGTTTTTATGTTTTTACTAGTACATGTTTGCAATATATAATTACATTCCTTATGTGGAGCTGGTATATGTTTATAACACATATTTTTTTTATCCTCTTCCCTTACCATTTTTATGGCAGCATAGTACTCCACTGTGTATAAATGGCATGTTTCCTTTATCCATTCATCTGATGATGAACATATGGGCTGCTTCCAAGATTTAGCTATTAGCAGTAAACATGTGTATGCATGTATCACTGTAATATAACATGTTTAACTCTTTCAGGAAGATACATAGAAGGGGAATGGCTGGGTTGAATGGAATTTCTAGTTGTACTTCTTAAAGGAATCTCCATGCTGATAGCATAGTGGATGCACTAGTTTACATTTCCACTAACAATGTAGGATTCCTTTTCCCCCTGCAGCCTCACCACAATTTATTTCTGAAGATGGTGTAATGGCCAAAGATGCTGAACACTTTTTCATGTATATATTGACCATTTGTATATCTTCTTCTGAGTAGTATCTATCCATTTCAGTTGCCCATCTTTTTAATTGGGTCCTGTACCTTGGTGGAGTCTGAGTTTTTTTTCTCTGTATATTCTAGATATTAGGCTTTTTATCCAAGGCATAGCTCACAAAAACTGTTTTCCATTGTATAAGTTGTCTCTTTACTGTGGTGGTTTTCTTTGCTGTGGAGCTTTTTAATTTAATATAGTCCTATTTGTTGATTTTTAGTGTTTTTGTGCAGTTGGGGTTCTGTTCAGAAAGTCTTTGCCTATCTATGCATATGTCTTCACAAGTTGTAGCTATTCAACTTGCAGCAGATTTTTTAAAATCTCTGCTTCTGTCATTTCCAATACTTGAGCTCTGTGGTTTTTAATTTCCTCCCTTTCAGTGCCCCATTGATCAGCTTATAGTAAGTTGGGAGGTTTGGATGCATTTTGTTGCCTTGCATGTTTCTGCGGGGTGTGTGTGTGTGTGTGTGTGTGTGTGTGTGTGTGTGATTTGGGGGCTGATCATAGTGGACTTTGTTGCTGGAATGCAGACCCTCTTGGTGTCTGCTTTTCAATGATGTATTCTGGGCGTGGCTAACTATGAGGCTCTGGCTCAGTCCCAAGATCCAACAACCTCCCTTAATTTAGGAGGGGACGCTGCAGTATAACAGATCTGGCATCCAGTTCTCAGGAACAAGCTGCAGTATTGTTTATGACACAAAGGCAACCCAGATACCAGCATTCAGAGAAAAACAATACTAACAACTGTGCCACCCCAGCAAGAAAAGCAATCACAGGCAAGCAGGACACTGACGTACCCTGAGAACCAGGAGATTATCACCCTTACAGAAAGGCGGTCTAGTTATAAACAGTAAGACAAACTAAATATTGATACATAGTTTCATGATTATACTAATAAAGATAGAGGGAGCCAGGTGTGGTGCTGCACGCCTGTAATTCCACCACTTGGGTGGCAGAGGCAGGAGGATTGTTGGAGACTAGCCTGGGCTCAAGGCCAGCCTGAGCTGCATAGCAAGAACTTGCCTCAAAAAGGAAAAAAGAAAAAAAAAAAAAAGAAAGAAAAGATGGGGAACAGGATGAAAAAAGTTTTGAAAAGTTAATCAGGGGCTGGGGAGATGGCTCAGTAGAATAAGCACTTCCCTGACAAGTGCAAGGGCCTGAGTTCAACACCTGGATACACACACACACACACACACACACACACACACGTTAATCAATGGATATTGAGAAGAGAATTAAAGTAGCCTATGAGGATTAAAAGGAAATAAGTAACAGAAAAGAACAAGCAATAAAAAAGAACTAAAGGTGGGAGGAAAAAAATACCACCCCTTAAGAAACAAGATTTTAAAAAAGAATGAAAAATTCCTGTTTTTGAATGAGTGTCCTTTCCTCATGATCTGCAGTTTTGTGATACAAAAAGCCAGTTTTCTCCACCTGGCTCTACAGCCTGTGGGGCTGTGAGGTATACTCCCTTAACACACACACTCCCACGGTCTTTCTGTCAGTACACCCCAGACTGTGGCAACTGTCCAAGCCTGGGCATGTCCTTGGTAGACAGGACAAGCAATAGAACCACAGGCCTCTACTGGACGTAGGCAGCAGGGATAGAGTTCAAGCAGAGGGGTGGACTTAGTGTTAGCACTTTCAGATCAAGCTTTTGAAAACCACACTTGCTGGCCCTGGGCTCTCACTTGCAGGCAGGGCCCCACATCCTTCCTGGCCTGAACTTGGAGCTTCTGAGGGGCTCTGTTATCTACCCCACACCCTCCCCATGGCTGTCTCACCTGATTATCCTGGTAGGGGAACACTGGAAACCTAGATATGAAGTTGTTCTGTGGCGCAGTCTTACTAAACAATTCACCTCTTCCCAGAATGACTCCTGATTAAACCCTCATCAATATGGAGACTACACTGCACTTCTCTAACTCTAACTTCTGGAATAAAACCTTATGCTATTTTTATAGTTTACAATAGCCCTTGGCTTTTCTTGGGGCTAGCACTGCTTGCCTGATGTGCTATTTTGCCCTGGAGGTGCTAACATTTTGGGGCATGCTTTCTCATCTGGGACACCAGCTTCCTGCCTGATCAGGGAGGTCAACTGGTTTGTCCTGTGCCAGGGGAAAGCAGAGGAGGCTTGCAGTTGGTGGGTGGCTATGGCCAGGGCATGGACTCTGGGCAGAAAGTTGAGGGTGACTGCAGCTTTCACCAGTCTGCAGGTATGGATTCTGTTCCTTGGTTTGGTTTGTTTGTTTGTTTTGGGGGGAGGGGCAGAGGGATGGTTTTTGTTCTTTTAGAAAAAGGTCTTGATTCATTGCCCAGGATGACATCCAACTTAAAACTCCTGCCCAGCTTCCCAAGTAGCTGGGATCACAGGCATTTGCCACCACAGCCAACTGTGAGTTAATTCTAATCTTTTTTTGTTACATAAAAATTTTGTTATTATTTTTAGCACTTTGCAGTACAGTTGTTGCATGCATCTTGGGAAATTGGTGTATGTACAAATTAACTCTTTAGTCCCAATCAGATTTCATGATTGAAACAAGTTAAAAATTTTCTTACAGAATATACTTTACCACAGCAAAGTTATATAGTTTAAGATTTCCTTTTTATATTACTAAGACAGGCATACACTCTGAATTTTTAAATTTAAATACAGAATACATAAAAACCAAGCCAAAGGGGCCAGCCAGATAGCTCAGGGGATTAAAGCGGCTGCTTAGGCAGATGCAGGGGCAGGGTGTTCAATACCCTGGCCTGCTATGACTGGCAAGCTGAGACAGTGATTGAGGTTGGGCATGGTGGTACACGCCTGTAATCCCAGTGCTTGGGAGGCTGAAAACAAGAGTCTGATCTGTGTAGTGAGACCCTGTAGATTCTGCACTAAATACATACACACATACATACATACATACATACATACATACATACATACATGGGCTGAGGATATGTGAAGGCCCTTGGTTCAATTCCTAATTACTACCCCTCCACCCAAAAAAAGGAAAAGAAAAAGAGGAAAGGTTAAAATATCTTGCATCCATTATATAATCTACCTTTATTGTCATTTATTTATTTATTTTTTGAGACAGGGTCTTGCTATGCAGAAGTTTAGGCTGGCCTTAAAACTCATTGTGTAGCCCAGGTTGGACTCAAACTCAAGACACTTCTCCTGCCTCAGCTTCCCAAGTGCCAGGATTACAATTTAATTCATTTTTGCTACACATTTTACCAAATATTTTTATTTATTTATTTTTTTTTTTATTTATTTTTTTTTTTTTTTGGTGGAACCGGGGATTGAACTCAGACCCTTGCGCCTGCTAGGGAAGTGCTTATTCCACTGAGCCATCTCCCCGGCCCCAAATACTTTTAAGTCATAACTGAATCATATTCTTGGGTATTTGGCTTTCTGTATATTCCATTTTTAAATTAAAATTTTAGAGTGCACAAATGAGTGCTATACATTTTATTATTCTAAAGCATGTTCCTAGCACAATTTACTATCTACCATTAAAATGAACCACCACCAAAAATGGGCAACAAGAATTATTCATTGATTTATTAGATGAACAAACATACTCATATAACTGATGAAAACCATACAATATAAAATAATTTAAGAAATGTTGAGAATTAGCAGCACCGTTATTGAAATAGCAAGAAAAACTTCACGTATTTTAAGCAAGCACTAGAAGGTTACTATTTTACAAGCTAATGCCATTGGTCTGGGCTGACTGAGAAGGGCACTGTTAATAGACAAACCCACTTTCTATGCTGAAGGTTCAGTGAGTTAACTGGCTGTTTTAGAAAATGCTACTAAAATGAGACACTGCATAGTATTTTAAATGGAATATGGGGAGACTAAAATCCAGCTACTTTAGCATGGCTCAACACTTCTATGAAAAATTTAGCTCTGAATTATGAAATAAAAAATAATTTTTAAAAGACCCTAGTCTCTAGGAAACATTAAGTGGGACACAGGTCACTATGAAAATACATCACTTTTCCAATTTGCTTAATAATTTATTTTAAAAAGGTGTATTGTTTTCATCACATGACTTATACAAAAATGTTAATAAGCATTTTAGAAAGTTTAAATGTATTTCTAAAATCTAGTATCTTTCGATTTTTTTAACCATGTAGCCCTGTTGTCACAATTATTGTATATCAGAGTATGAGACTGAGTTGTGTAAAAGATACAAATTTACACACATCTTACAGCAACGTATACCCTAACATCTACAAAATTCACAGTTATCATACAAGGAAGTACAAGGCCAGGATGAAACTGTCAAATTCTAAAAGGTCAAACTGTATATTCTTTATTTTTTCCCCTTTAAAAAAGTTCAACTCTGCACCAAATTTATGTTTCTTTTATTTTTTGCTTTGTTTTCTGAGACAGGGTCTCTGAACTCGCAGTAATCCTCCCACCTCAGCCTCCCAAGAGCTGGGATTACAGACATACGCCACCACACCGAGTGATGGCACCAAATTTAAAAAGCCCTCATATCCTAAGTTTGGAAAAACCCCATTTCCAGATACATTTCAGCAAACACACACAGTTTTCCGGTGCTGATGTAGTAAAGGGTTGCCCATTTTCTTCTGGCCCCTAAGTCTGCGTCGCATGGTAAGTTTAACAGAGTTCTTCCGCTGCGAGGTTGTTGGGAGGCTTGCAGCCTGAGCACCGCTACTTCGACTTAAGCCATTTCGTCTATGCTTCTTCATAAGTGGGCTGGAGTTGGATTCTTCTAATGTCCTTTTAAAGTTTGCAGGAGGGGTTCTTTCAACTTCTTGGGCCTTCATTTGGCCAGGAGTAGATACCTTTAAGTTTTTTTGGTCCAACATAGTATTTGTTGAATTTGTAGGCACAAGGCCAACTGACAGGGTATTGTTCAAAGAATCATGTATCCTTAAAGTTAGGGTTTTAGTGCAGTTTTCCTCCAGTGGCTCTGGGTCTTTTGAGGGTATAACTACAGCCTGGACACTCCCTCGATTTATCTCGGTTGGGATCTCTAAGAGATTCTCTGAGAAGGCATTACTGCGAACGAGGGTAGGTATATGGTCTTTAGAGCTCAGTCTGGGCCATGGATCTTCTTCCAGTGACTAAAAAACAAGAAGTAAAGCAAATCATTCTAGGCTCCTAAGAAGGTACTAAGATGTCAAAAAAATGATACACATTCACCCATTTGTTTAATATGTATCTTCTGATCTATTTGCAAGAATCTATGAGAGTAACCTGGGTGACAGGAAAGTAATATAAAGGAAATGGGGGGCCTGGGAGATAGCTCAGTAGAGTAAGTGTCTGCCTGGCAAGCACACAATACTGAGTTCAATCCCTGGTTCCGGGGGAGATTATAT